CCCGCCTAATCGCGGAAAAACGTTCTGTGCGCCCGTGAATTCTCTCGCTGCAATAAGAAATGGAAAATCTTCTTTGTGCTTCAATAAAACTTTGCCGCAAGCAGAACTTGATTAGTTCATGAAATTACAATCATGTATGTTTTCCGTTCAGCGTCCCAAATAGCAAAACATGCTATGAATATCCTTTGACACTAAATAACGCTGGCGTTTAATTTCATCCCTGGTTCATGTTTTAGTTTCACTCCTGGTTCGTGCTCACTGACCGCCTACAAACTGACCCCCTCGGGTTATGACTGGGGCCGGAACAACAAAGACACCGGGAACAATCCCAGGGGTTACCTCCCGTCACACTACGAGAAAGTACAGATGTTACTGTCGGATCGTTTTCTTGGTTTCTTCATGGTACCCACCCAAGGTTCCTGGAACTTCAACTTTATGGGTGAGTTTTGGCTGAATTCTAATTGTTGTCTAGAGATGGGACTCCACAAAAACACGAAAATGCGCCATTTGTGTGGGCTCAGAAATGCCATCCTAACGTTTCTGAAGGTGATCTACAAGGTGTAAGAATTTGTGACTGTAAAGGGAGTCGATGGTTAAGTCTGTATACGAGCTGTGCAGTGACTTAACGTTGTCCTTGAAGGCAAGACAGTTATTGCTTTTGTCATGGTCAGATATCAGTTTTAACAGCCTGATTTTCTGGTTTTACAGGTGTTCGCCACTCCCCTAACATGCGTTACGAACTCCAGCTGTCCAATCCCAAAGAGTTCTACCACGAAGTACACCGCCCCTCTCACTTCCTTAACTTCAGCACCATGGAAGATGTGGAAGTTATCGGCGCTGATAGAGATGACATGTTCTCGTAACTTGTCAGCAATTTTTTTCGTATCAGTCACGTATTCAGTCTTGACCACTGACCATTGTAAAAAGAGTTTTCTTCAGTTAGACTTTCAAAGGGGGGAGGCGTGGGTGGACATTCCCGTGAGTCATAGACAGAGCTCTGATTGCCGCTGCAAAAAAGGCGGCAACCCCAGTAACCATAGCGACCGTTTCTCCTGAATTCGCTCGCGGTAAACTGCCATTACCCACCCCATTTTAAGCGCGTGCTTGTTGTGATTGCATCAGCAGGTTTTGCACACCGTCATGGACAACTTCGCATTCTGTTTAGGCTAACAACCATCTGAGATTACATCTTTACTCTTAAGTAACCAACTTTAGAACTGCTACAATGCGTTTCCTCAATATTTCCCTCCAGCTCAAATCAAACAAGCCTTGTTAAGAGAGCATAGCTTTCTTTTTCTTTTGTGCCAAAATTGTTTGTTTTTGTATATATCCTAGGATTGGCAATAACTTCTCCAACAAGTTTTTATAGTCGTAAAATTATTGTGGAGTAAGCGAGTAGATTCCGTTTCTTTGTTTTGTAATACCCTGAGTAAAGTAATAAAAAAGTGCTCTTCAATTTATTTCGAGCTACCGTTCTCAAGGCTGGTGGCATTCCTATGTCATGTACCAATCATATAAATGTCTGACACGCTGTCAAAAATCTTACTAGTAACCTTCGTTATCTTTTACCAGTGGCCAGCGGTCTATGACGAGACAACTTTACTCGTCTGGTCACGCTATCCTACTCTGCAGGGCCGCAGCCAGAAAAAAAATAACAACTGAGGCAATGTCTATGGTTAAATTCTCTTCCTTGGTATGACTATAAACAATCAAAGTGCTCTATGAACAAACCCGTGGATTTCCCATTAAATGATGATTGACACGAGCTAAACTTTGCGTAATAAGGAAATACTCTTTTCATAAAAAAAATAGGTCCGCACTTTGGCTATGTGTGTGGCTTATGGGTTATTGACTTCTGGCAATACTCGTGATGACAGTCTTAAAAATGACTGAGACAAATGCCTCGGTGTGCCTGTTACTAGCTACGGTCCTGCAATGTCACTGTCGGCAGGAAGGTTGGCGTTTTGTAACTTGACTTTCAGGGTAAGTCGGCTTCGCGCCGCCATCTTGCTCTTTAAGATCACCAAGATTTTATTTTATTATAGAGAGCTAAAGCATTGTAATTCACATCATACTCTGACATTAATACGCACCTGTCCTTGAGAATCTTGTGAATCAGGTGTGAGTTAAACTGAACGTCTGAAGCAGCTGAGGTTTTGAGCGCTAGCTCGTAGAGCAAACCGTGCAGATCGTCAGCAGCCTCTCTTTTGCGCAGTGCAAATCGCATTTAGCTTACTACATAATGCTATTTCAATAGTCAGTTTATTGGTTTCTTTGTTTATTTCGATAATTTACATACTTGAATATGCAAGTATGGAGAATTTGGCGACGTTAAGACTCTGACGCCACGGAAAAATCCTTGATGATTGCTAGACTTTACAATAAGACTCCGTAACTCGCCAAGTTACTTGGGCCGATTTTCTGATCTTTGAGTAACTGATATAAAGTCGCCCCGCATTGTTAACGGCACGAATGGCGAAGTCTGCGCTGCACGTTGAGCTTTTTGGAGTGATGGTGAATATATGTAACATCCTTCGAAAAAAACAGTCGTGCCGTAGCAGCTCAGATCCCCATGTAGCACCTCCTCATCGTTCTCAGTGGGCTAAGTTCCGTTTTAGTGTCACCACTTACGCTTAGTGAGCTGCCATTATGACGCAAGGTCCGGTTGTGACGGTTGAGGCATTATTTCATAAGAGAAATACCTCTTATTGACCTTATTAGCCGTGGCGTACCTAAGAGCGATCCAAAGGAGTCACGAAGAGCGTTTTAGTGTGCGAGCAAATCATTCAAGACTGCCACACCAATCACATTGGAGGCTTCAAGTTGCCGATTCTGAATTTGCTTCTTATGTGAGCAAGTTTTCCACCTGTTGCCTTTATTTGGCCATTTCCTGGGTAATCTATCAGGCACTCATATAAGGAAGGTTGGGTGTGGCCTTCACAAGCATTACAAACTCGTAATTTAGTGTACGACGCTGTCTGACATATAACGGGGTGTGAACAAGACAATGCTGTTCGCACCGGATGACTTGTACACTCTTTAGGAGCCGGCACTTTTTTTAGACCCTTTCTGTGACGGAAATGATGATCAGTGCAAAATGTACTATTGTGATGATTTAGGGGACAACCATCGCTAAACTCGATGCACTAAGGTGTAAACTTTCATAGCTCATTTATTAATATTTAACAATTAGTAATAGTAATTGGACCTAGTGGAGTACAATTCAGGGAGTAATCGCGCGAGTAATTTCAAAATCGGACGAGCGCGAAGCGTGAGGCCGATTTGAAAATACGAGCACGATTACTCTCTATTAAACCCATTTTGAAATCACTGGCTATCCTTGCAATCTGATTGGCTCTCAATGGTGCGATTTATTCACGAATCGCACTATTTTTTGCTCTAAATCGCATCTTT